CTTTTTTCTTTTTGCTTATGTGGTGCTGAGGAATCAAACCCAGGGCCTCAGGCATGCAAGGCAAGCGCTCTACCACTGAGCCACCTTCCCAGCCCCTAAACATGCAATATATCTTGATCCATACCACCCCCTTAGTCAGTCCTTCCTTCTACTCCCTGCCCCATTTGTTATCAATCTTTATTGTTCAATTTTCCCACATGTATATTAAGTATTAATCATATTCACCTTTCACCTTCTTCAGGCTTATGTAGTAGGTATGCTTTCCTTCTGTTTGGTGTGTCTAAAACCAGGTAGGCCTGCTGATTATGATCTTGGCTGATCTGTGATACTTAGTATTAGCTATATATTTGAATATGGATACATTTAATCTTCAAAATGCATCAGTGGTTAAGTAGTATCAGGTAAATGAATGTGAGAAATCCTTCTTTGGTTTCTTACACTAAGTGCTCTTGTCCTCTTCCTATCATCATTTCTTTACTTGCCTTGGCTAAATAGAGTTAATTTTCTACCACATATTTCAGATAACTTATTAAATTATATTTTGGTAACAATCTGAACACGAAATGAGATCATCTTAGGGCATTAAGTAGCAAGAATGTGAGCACATTTCTAGTAAGAGAAAATATTTCCAGGTTTTTTTTTATTATTCACATCTCCTTTAGGCTGATCAAAAGATGAATTTAAAATTTGTTCTCAATTCCCAGTACCAACGAAATAAACAAGGTTTGCTGGATTCTCATTACTTTTAATTTAGAGCATAATTAACTAGTTCTGAATTTAGCCATAAAGTAATATTGAATACAAAACAAGGATGGTTAAACAACATTAATTACTAAATGTTCTTTTTTATTATTTATTTTTTTTGTGTGCCAGTCTTGAAGTTTGAATTCAGGGTCTCAATGCTGCCTTTGAGGACTTTTGCTCAAGGCTAGCATTCTACCACTTGAACCACAGCTTCATTTCTGGCCTTTTGTTGGGTAATTGGAGTTTAGTCTTAAGGACGTTCCTACCCAGGGTGGCTTTGAGCTGCAATCCTCGTATCTCAGCCCTGATGAATAGCTAGGATTATAGGCGTAAGCCACTAGTGCCCACTACTAAATATTTTTTGTTTAGTATTGGCTCTGATAATATAATGTATAAAAGTAATCTTGTGCCAAATCTTGAAGACAAACAGCTTATCCTTATTTAAATGTCTTGACAGCATAGCTTTATAGAGTGTGTGTGCTTATGTTTTTTTTTCTCTTTAGTGAGATTAAGTGATTACATAAATTTCACAAAATTCACAGCATTGTGGGATAGTGTTACTTAAAGTTACAAACACATTTTAACCTTCACAAGGCACATTGTCATTATCATGGTCTATAAAGCTTATGGTCTCTACACACTTTGACACTACAGCTCTTTTTTCCAAATCAGGTGATATGTACATTTCTCTCCTTTTGCTTAGTGTAAGCTGTTCCACCTTTCTCTCTCATTTCTTTCTATCGCTGCCCTTGAGTTGCTTAGTTCACTTTCATCAATGTCCAGTGCAGCTGATAGGCCCCTTCTGCTGTATTTTTTCCTGTTTCCCTCTGATTCTGTGCCCTTCCTATTTTCCCTCAGATATTGTGTGCATATGTTTTGTACAGCTATGTATTGGTCTGTTACAAGCCAGTTAGCTTTCAGATGGAGGATGTAAAAAAGTCTTACGTTGGTCATTGTCTTTATTTTTTTTTTTTTTGTTTACCATGACAACATAGCTTTAATTAATTTAGGACATATATTGTGCTTCTTAAAACAGAGATCACAATGGCTTCAATATTATGTTTCTTAAAACCATCCTTTAAGCCAGGGGCAAGTGACTCATATCTGTGATCAGGAGGCTAAGATCGGAGGATCATGGCTCAAAGCTGGCCTAGGCAGGAAACTCTATAAGACTCATATCTTCAATTAACCACCAGAAAACCGGAAGTGGAGCTGTGGCTCAAAGTGGTCAAGCACTGGACGTGAGCGGAGAAAGCTCAGAGACATTGCCCAGCCCTGAGTTCAAGTCCTACAACCAACCAAAATAAAAAAAATCCTTTAGAGGCATAAAGGAATTAATAATGATTCGGATTCTGCCACTTATATTTTCAATCTGTATCTCTAAAAGGTGTTGATGGCCCAAATTAAACTAGGACTTAGGGTCCTCTTAGATATCATAGTTTAATTGAGCTCTTTTTTTTTTTTTTTTTTTTTAATTGTAAAGCTACTATACAGAGGGTTACAGTTACATGAGTGAGGTTATGAGTACACTTCCTCTTGAACATTGTTACCCCCTCCATTGTTTTCCCCCTACCATCCCTTCCCTCCCTCCCTTCCCCGAGGTTCTTTTTTTTTTTGATTGTGATTAAATGATTACATAATTTCAAAGTCACAAGTTCATTCTAACTTCCCTGGAGCAAATTGTCTACCACAGTCTGTAATATATAACAGTGTTCACAGTTGCTGGTGGCTCATGCCTGTAATCCTAGCTACTCAGGAGGCTGAGATCTGAGGTTCAAAGCCAGCCCAGGTAGGAATGTCCGTGAGACTCCTATCTCCAATTAACCACCAGAAAACCGAAAGTGGTACTGTGGTTCAAGTGGTAGAATGCTCACTCACCCTCAGCTTAAGAGCTGAGGTGCAGCACCCAGGACCAGAGTTCAAGCCCCATTACCAACAACAACCTCAAAAAACAAAACAAAACAAAAACACAAAACCTTGGGGCTGGGAAGGTGGCTCAGTGGTAGACTGCTTGCATGCATGAGGTCCTGGGTTCGATTCCTCAGCACCACATACACAGAAAAAGCTGGAACTGGGTGCTATGGCTCAAGTGGTAGAGTGCTAGCCTTGAGCTGAAGAGCTCAGAACAGTGCCTAGGCCCAGAGTTCAAGCTCCACGACCAGCAAAACAAACAAACAAACAAACAAACAAAACCAGTTGGGCACTTGCAGCTCATATCTATAATTCTAGATACTCAGGAGGTTGAGATCTAAAGATCAAGGTTTGAAGCCAGCCTGGGCAGGAAAGTCTGTAAGATTTTTGTCTTCAAGTAACCATTAAAAAGCCTCAAGTGAAACAGTGGCTCAAATGGTAGAGTGCTAGCCTGGGACACAAAAGCTTAGGGGCAGCACCTAGTCCCTGAGTTCAAGTCCCACGATGGCAGGAAAAAATAAAATAAAACAGCAAGTAAATATATTTTCTTTAGAACTTCAAAAGCAAAAGTCCTTCCCTTTAGTACGCCCAGGCTCTAGGTATTTGTCATATAGCCACTAGAGGGAGCATGGCATTTGTTTATACAAGTGCAGAATTCCCAGGAGAACCTGCAGAACTAGTGTCTTCTATAAAAATTCCCATTAAAATGGGGGCTGGTGGCTCCCACCTGTAATCCTATCTACTCAAGAGGCTGAGATCTGAGGATCAAAGTTCAAAGCCAGCCTTGGCAGGAAAGTCTGTGAGACTTGTATCTCCAATTAACCACCAAAAACCTGGAAGTGGAGCGGCTCAAGTGGTACAGTGCTAGCTTTGAGCAAAGCAGCTCAGGAACAGTGCCCAGGCCCCATATCCTCCGCTCTCACCACTGTAAATTTCCATTGGATTACAAGCATTCCTGTTGGACTTTGATTTTTTGTTTTGTTTTGTTTTCTTGGTTGGTTGTGGGGCTTGAACTCTGGCCTGGAGGCTGTCCCTCAGCTCTTCAGCTGACTATGATCCTTTTAAAGTGACATCTAAATTCAAATGATTTGATTTCCATAGTTTTATTGTTATTTTAACACCATACATGCTCTGATTTTTAGAAACAGAAAGCCATACAACACAGAAAACTACCAAGAATGCCATGAGAAATCACACATATACATCCTGTATGGGAAGGCATTTTTCCCCCACTCTCCACCTCTCATTCTCCCTCCACTTATAGAACTAAGCAGACAAATTGACGTATATAGAATAATACTTTACCTGCTATTTCCGAAATACTATTGGTACAAACTAAGTAGACCTCTTTCCACAGTAAGTGATGTAATTCTCAACTGTGAACACTACAATGATACAGCGTCACAATGTTAGGTTTAAGTTCCTTCTCCACTGACTACGTGACACTGGATGACAACTTGATGCTAAGTGCTTCAGCTTCTTTAAATGAAAATATGGAGATGATAATGTTACCTTTTCTGGAGAGTGGATGTGAGGGCTGAATCAGATCAGAAATCTATCTGCAAACTTAAGAAAGTTGGTAGAACTTAGTAAGTTCTTGCTTTGTTTTAGTCATTATTAACTTCATGATAACTTGGGAGTAACACTGAAGAAGCTGTGCGTATGTGTGTGCATGTGTATGTGTGTGTATGCACGCACGCATGCATAGTACTGGAGCTTGAACTCTGGCCTTGGACTCTCCGTTGGCTTTTCCTGCACAAGGCTGGCTTTCTACCACACCTCCACTTCTGGCTTCTTGCTGGCTAATTGGAGATAAGCCTCACAGACATTCTACTTGCACTGGCTTTAACCTCGATCCTTAGATCTCAGCCTCCTCAGCAGCTGGATTATGGGCCTGAGCCATCAGAGCCTGGTGTGGTACGATGAAGGGAACCCAGGACCTTACACAAGAGAGGTCAAACACTTTACCTCTGAGCTATATCCACAGCTAAGAGTTTAAAAAATACTAAGGTGGATTAGTTTTCCCAGATTTAAAACAAAATCCTAACTTAGAGTTATCCTTTCAGCCTGAATTCTTATTGTTTCCATGTACAACCACACGCTTTCTCTGTTGAAGCTGGTATTTGCAGATAGCAAATACTTGGTTTGTACTTGCTGTCTGGAAAGAGATGAACTGCCTTTTCAGAGAGTCTTATCCAGTGCCTTTAAATGAGTCAGTTTCACAGGGCCACCTTTATATAAGACATGAGTCCAACTAAAAATCCCTGTTAATTATTAACCCTTGGTGTATTACCTGGATACCTGACACTGCAGCTTGAGAATAGTATTTTCTTCCTCACAGATAGAAAAATGTAGCTATCAAGGGAGTTAAAAAAAGAAAAAGAAAAAGAAACCACTAGACCTTCTCCTCTGGTATTTGGTGAAGAGCATCTGGTGTTTGGGCTGGCATATCCACAATCTAAACCACTGGTGTAGACGTCATTTGGGATTCCTGCTTTCTTATTTTAGCATGGCGGAGCTCACTGTGCACAGACTCCTTCTTCTGTTTTTTTCTCTGGCAAAGTGTCTGGAGGGCACAAAACTTCTATCACATCTTAAAAAATGTGGTGACCTGGAATGTGAAAGTAAGTCCACTTTTCTTCTCCTTTTAAATCAAGGCTCTGAAATCTCATTAAAATGATATTGCAGATAGGTGTGTTGAAAATAACACTGAGAAATGTCTGAATCCTTTTTAAAGTAGAACTTGATCCAAAAATAAAATTCCAGAGGCAAAGTGTTTTGTGATATTGTTTGGTATAAGTATAAAATGAGCAAAGATAAGGTTGATATAGAAATATATCAGAGATTATGTTATTAATTTATACCTTTAAACCACAAGAATCAGTCTTCCTTTCAGTAGTTTTTAAAGAGAAATGAAACTGATTTGGTTAAAACAATGTGTAAAAATTCATTAAAATAAAAAGGGAATTAAAAAAACAACAAAAAAGTTTTTTTCCTAGAACTTTCTGATTCTCATGAGTTTAAAAAGTTTTTATTTCAAAATATCATGATTTATTGAGTAATTTTGGTGTTTTTAATTACGCAAAATGATAAAAAAAATAAGTGTAGAATATGATTTTATACCATGAAATATTAAACTTGATTTACCATGAAGAAAAATGAATTTCCATTTTATCGTTTGAGAATTTAGCTACTTAACATTAGAATTATTGTATAAAATAGTTGCGTCTCAATATATTAAAGTTGTTGTAAATATGTTCAGTCTAGTATGTGAATTATTTCTGATTTTGCAACACTCAAAAATGCAAAATATGGTTGATGCATAATTTACAAGTAACATGCTTATGAGTAAACATTTTTCTTATTTTTTGTGTATATACTTTAATACATAGAAATGTTATTTTATAGTAGTCACTCTTGGATCTTATATTTTAGTATTCTTAGTGCCTGATAGAACATGAAAAGAGAACATGCAAATGTATTATAATGTTGGTTAACTCTAATTGTGTAACAATCAAACATTTTAATTTTATACAGGTAGTATCATTTGAATAAGCTTTACGATTGGTATGTGACTTTTGAGTTGGGTAGATTTTAGCAGGTTAGATGTGATTCATTCATAGTTACTGAAGACCTACTAGGCGCTTGGTCTAGGGCAATGTGTGGATTCTGTGCATTTTAAAGATTTGGGGGCAGGAAATATAAAATAGGAAGTGAAACATAAGATAAAATGTAAGCTAAGGCCCTCCAGGAATACCCAATGTACTTAGTGGTGGTAACCCAGATCACAATGAAGCAGAAAACAGTGGTGCACAGTACATTAAGGGTGACAGGTCAAGTGGACATTGGGAGAAGGTTAGGATGACTAAAGCCACAAGGAGGAAGCAGGATATGAGCTTGGCATGAAGAGAGACAGAGGGCTTTCTAGGCTGAGAAAAGCAGGGATAGAAGCTAGTACAACTCGGGCTCTACTCTCTAACTTAAGCTATGTAGCTGGAGATGGATTCGTTTCCTTAGAAATCAGTTTGCTGACTAATCCAATGAAAAGTGATTATCATAATGTCTGGAAAGATACATAACGGTACAAGAAAGTAAAACTTTCCCTTGGCCAAAGACTGAAGAATGAGGGCGACATATTCCAGTGATAAGAGATTTACAAGCTCAAGTGTAGTGCCCCTTGAGTCTGGGTAAAGGAATAGAAGGAGGTTCTTTTAAATAGTTTATGGATATTCTTGAAGGCCAAGCTCTGGGCTTCATTCTGTGCCCAGTATGAAGTGGATGTGGCTTTTTGAGAAGTTCAAGAATGTCAAGAAATTGGCATTTCAAAATATGTAGAGTACATTAGAGGAAGGGAAATGGGAGAAGAGCCAGGCAGTGTAAAGAGGCAGAGGCAGATGCAGGAAGGAGGCAGATGCAGGAAGATCTCTAATTTGAGGCTACTCTCTCAAAATAAAGAGACCCTATCGCAAAGTAAAGAATTAAGTAAATACAACAAAATAAAAGGAGGAGCAATCACATCTTAAGTTGAAATATGTATGTTTTTCTTTACACGTTTCCATAGCTTTAATCAGCAGAGTCTTAGCCGTGAAAAATTACACAGGACCTGACTGCCGATACCTGAACTTCACTGAGGGAGAAGAAATATCGGTTTATATTAAACTTTCAGGAGAGAGAGAAGATTTATGGGCAGGAAGTGTAAGTATCTAGTTATAAGAATTGTATGTAGAGCTCTCTGTTCTATTCTAGCTCTCTCTCTGTTCCTCTCTGCTCTCTCTGCTCTTTTCTAGCTCTTTCCTCTCTTCCCAGCTCTCTCTCATTCCCAGGCCTTTCCCAGCCACATGGAGTGCCAACCTTGCCTGGTCCCAGCAGGTCTACTGAATAAACCTACCCCTTATCTGAAAAAAAAAAAAAAAAAAAAAAGAATTGTAGGTAGAAAAAGAATGACCAGAGCAGAACCACCTCCTTCACCTGTAAGAAACCGTCTCCCCCTTGGGACAGGGTGTCTGATGAATCCCATCAGCCAAGATGCCCTTTTGCTAGAGATCCAACCACCCCATAGCACGCTCACTACCCTTCCCCTTCCACCCCCACCCCCCACTTTGCCACTGGGGAGAAATAAAAGAGTTTTCCTGAAAAAAAAAAAGAAGAAAGAAAAAAAGAACAATCAACTTGCACAAGGATAGCTACTTTTCATCTCTAAAAGAACTCTAAGAACTTCAAGAGCGAAGAGCCCTTACACACACAAAAATGGTATGTGAAATTCCTGTGAAAAAAGCTTTGAGAAAACAGCCTGATGGCAATAAATAAAGGAAACACCTTAGATTTTTTTTTTTAACATATTATAGTACTTTTTTTTTTTTTGGTGCCAGTATTGGGGCTTGAATTCAGGTCCTGGAGCTCTCTCAGAGCTCATGGCTCATGGCTCATGGCTCATGGTTCTCTGCCCTTTGAGCCATACTTCTAGTCTGACTTTTTGCTGGTTAATTGGAGATGGAATCTCACAGACTTTTCTGCTCAGGCTGGCGTCAAACCTCAATCCTCCAGGTCTCAAACTCATGAGTAGCTAGGATTACAAGTGTGAGCAACTGGTACCTGGCTTGCATTTATGATGTGTGTATGTGTGTGTGTGTGTGTGTGTGTGTGTGTGTGTGTGTATAGACACTTTACATTCTGAAGTTCAAATACAGCTTAAAATAGTGACACTTTACCATTTGCTTATTGTGCCCTTAAATTAATGTTGCTCTTATCAATAACAAAAGGTTATGTTTCTACTCACTTTCTTTCTTTTTTTCTTCCTTTTTATTGGTCCTGGGGCTTGAACTCAGGGCCTGTCTCTTTGTCCTCAAGGCTCTACCATTGAGCTACAGTGTCACTTCTAGCTTTTTCTGAGTAGTTTTATTGGAAATAAGAGTTGCAGGGACTTTCCTACCCAGTCTGGCTTTGAACTGCGGTCCTCAGAGCTCAGCCTCCTGGGTAGCTAGGATTACAGATGTGAACCATCAGTATCCAGCCTCACTTTCTTTTAGATGGCAATTGATAACTAATTAATTTATGTGACTTGACATAGATGAAAGATATTGTCACAGGGCTAAATTGAGCTTAGTAGTCATTGTTTTGATCACTCTTCTCTGATAATTTCATTTCTTTGTTTTGATAGAAAGGAAAAGACTTTGGATTTTTTCCCAGAGATGCAGTCCAAGTGGAAGAGGTGTTCATACCTGAAGAAGTTGAAATATCAGCTAAAGTGAGTCAACTCATTGTCATCTGTGAATTAAACATTTTTGACTAAGTGTTCATTGATTGTGGACTATGTATAATCAATGTGTAAAATAGTTGGTCTGAGGACTTTTGTTTTTTTTTTTATTTTTAATTTTTTCCCTTTTTTTTCAGATGATCATCAACTTTTTTTTTTTTTTTTTTTTTTGGGTCTGGTCGTGGGGCCTGAACTCTGGGCCTGGGTGCTGTCCCTCAGCTCTTCAGCTCAAGGCTAGCGCTCTACCACTTGAGCCACAGCGCCACTTCCGGTTTTTTTCTTATGTGGTGCTGAGGAATCGAACCCAGGGCTTCAGGCATGCAAGGCAAGCGCTCTACCACTGAGCCACCTTCCCAGCCTCCTGATCATTAACATTTTTTAACCAATAAAATACTTTTTTTTTTGTCGGTCGTGGGGCTTGAACTCTGGGCCTGGGTGCTGTCCCTCAGCTCTTCAGCTCAAGGCGAGCGCTCTACCACTTGAGCTACAGAGCCACTTCCGGTTTTCTGGTGGTTTATTGGAGATAGGAGTCTCACGGTCTCTCCTGCCCGGGCTGGCTTTGAACCACGATCCTCAGATCTCAGCCTCCTGAGTAACTAGGATTACAGTTGTGAGCCACCAGCGCCCGGCTACCAATAAAATACTTTTAAGTACATTGTTTTTAGACACAATACTTTTTCAAACTTAAGATTCCAGTAGTATGTGAAACTTTTTTTGTGTGTGTGGGTAGAAGTGTTACTTTATTTTTTTAACATATTTTTTATTGTAAAGACACTGTACAGTGGAGTTACAGTTACATGAGCAAGGTAATAAGTCCATTTCCTAGGGAGCATTGTCACCCCCTCCTTTGTTTTTCCCTTATCCTCCCTTTCCTCTCCACCTTCCCAGCTCCTCCTTCCCCCACTTAAAGTTGTAAAGTTCATTTTCAACATAGTGTCTTGTACATCTCACTGTTACAATGTGTCATTCTGTATCCTTATTTCAGCATTTTGTTATTTCCCTTCCATTCCCCAAATTAGAAAAATGTATATACAAGATGCAGGACACCGGAATCAAACACAGTGAAAACAGGGGTTATACCATGGGGGAAGAACATACAAAAGAAATTTAAAAAATCACATAGTACATTATAAGTACATTAAAAACAACAGCAAGAAAGATGAAACTTCTTGTGTACCCATCTTGGGGTTCATTTAGCGTCATCTTTTTTTTTTTTTTTTTTTTTTTGTCAGTTGTGGGGCTTGAACTCTGGGCCTGAATGCTTTCCCTCAGCTGTTCAGCTCAAGGCGAGTCCACTACCACTTGAGCCACAGCGCCAGTTCTGGTTTTCTGAGTGGTTTACTGGAGATAAGAGTGTCATGGGTTTTCCTGCCTGGGCTGGATTTGAACTGTGCTCCTCAGATCTCAGCCTCCTGAGTAGCTAAGATTACATGTGTGAGCCACCAGCGACTGGCTCTTAGCATCATCTTATATGGTCATATGTACTTAGCTTTTGACCTTTTCCTCTTGCCCTAGACATACACTAGTTATTTCAGATAAGGGAAACCATGGGACCTATGTTTCTTTGGGCCTGCCTTACTTCAATTAATATAATTTTTTCCAAAAAATATAATTTTTTCCAAGTCTTTCCATTTCCTATCAAATGGGGCGGTGTCATTCTTTCTGATGGAGGCATAGAATTCCATTGTATATACATACCACATTTTCTTGATCCATTCATCTACTGAGGGGCATCTGGGTTGGTTCCATATCTTAACTATGGAAAATAATGCTGCAATAAACATAGTTATGCTGGTAGCTTTGGTATAGCCTTGTTTGTGATCCCAAAAGTGGGATTGCTGGGTCATTGTTGAGAAGTTTTGCATCGATGTTCATCAAAGAAAAAAGTCTATAGTTCTCTGTTTGATATGTCCCTGCCTAGTTTTGGGATGAGGGTTATGATGGCTCATAGAAAGAGTTCGGTAGTGAACTTGCTCTTTCAGTTTCATTGAAGAGTTGGAGGAGTATTGGTGTGAGTTCTGTTTTGAAGGCCTTGTAGAATTCCTCTGTAAATCCATGCGGTCCTGGGCTTTTCTTGGGTGGGAGGTCTCATTGCTATTTCTATTTTGATGCTTGATATGGGTCTGTTAAGTTGATTTAAATTATCTTGGTTTAGTTTGGGCATGTCAATAATTGCTAGAAAATCGTCCATTTCTTCCAGATTCTCAAATTTACTAGCATAAAGGTTTGAGAAGTATTCCCTTATAATGTTCTGAGTCTTGGTTGTTTCTGTGGTGATGTTTCCATTCTCATCTCTGAGTTTGTTTATTTGGGTGTGTTCATTTTTAAAATTAAAATAAATGAAAATTTAAAAATTCAAAGTTGCTATTATAAAGGTAATGTAGAGAGGAGTTACAGTTAGACAAGTCAAGTGAGTACATTTCTTTTTGGTCTTACTCTTGGAATAATTTATGTGACTAAAATTAGGTAAGATAGAATTGATTACAGTTAAAGATTTTACTTTTTGAACAATTAACAAATAAGACAATTGCATCTATATTAGGATAGAATGAATTTCAAACCTGACTCAACCACTTACTATAGAAATGGCACTATGTGGCTTAGTTTTGCCATGTGTAAATGGAAATTCCTGTAATATAGTGTTACTTCAAATTTATTAAGGAAAAAATGAGTACACGAAAGGTTCATAGAGTTGCACTTAGTAAGCACCACGTGAATGTCAGATATAATTACTAACACTGTTGTCCTACTATGATTGAAGTTTATTCCTACCATACTCCCTAGATCTCATGTTTATATAATGTTTATGGGGTTGTGCTTTTGCTTGGCATGGCTTTTTCTGCTCAAGACCAGTGGTAAACCACTTGAGCTATATCTCCATTTCTGGCTTTTTGCTGTGTAATAGAAAATAAAAATCTCAGGACTGGTCTGCTTCAATTGACTTTGAACCATGACCCTCAGATTTCAGCATCCTGAGAAACTAGGACCAGTGTCTGGCTGGAGTTTTTATAATCTTAATAATATTAACTTGATAATAAGAAAAGAAATTTTTTAAAAATCTGACTTTTTATGAGTTGGAGGAATATCTCCTTTAGCAAGTCCTGAGTTAAATCTCTAGTCTCATTGAAAAGAAAGGAAACTTTTTTTTTTTTTTTTGTCGGTTGTGGGGCTTGAACTTGGCCTGAGCACTGTCCCTCATTTCATCAGCTCAAGGTGAGCGCTCTACCACATGAACTACAGCAACTATTCCGGTTTTCTGAGTGTTTATTGAGATAAGAGTTTCATGGACTTTCCTGCCCGAGCTGGCTTTGAATTTCGATCCTCAGCTCTCAGCCTCCTGAGTAGCTAGGATTACAGGCGTGAGCCACTGGCGCCCAGCTAAGAAAGGAAACTTTTTTTTTAAATTTTAATTAAAAAAATTTTTTTTTGCCAGTCCTGGGCTTGAACTCTGAGCCTGGGCACTGTCCCTCAGCTCTTCAGGGATAGCGCACTACCATTTGAACACAGCATCACTTTCCCCTTTTTTCTGCTTATGTGGTGCTGAGGAATTGAATCCAGGGCCTCATGCATGCAAGGCAAGCACTCTACCGCTGAGCTAACTTCCCAGCCCACGAAAGGAAACTTTTTAATGTATAAGCTTGATTAGCTCAGAGAGCCAAATGATACTCTTGCATATGTTTTCTCTCATATGCAGAAGGTAGATCTAAAATACCCTGGGACATGATAAATTATACAGGATTGTAGGCATTCACAGTGAGATCAAATGGGAGAGGAATACAAGGTGCAATGCCTACGTGCATCTGATCATACAAAATAATATCTATCAGAATGAACTCCAGGAAATGGAAGCAAGTTTTTTTTCCTTTGTTTTTTGTTTCCTTTTCTTTTGGTCTTGTTTGCTTATCTGTCTTTGAGGAGGGCACAGGGAGGCACAGAAATGGAGGAACAAAGGCTGCACAAATGCAGCAGTGATACTAGACACTGTTGACAATGAACTATACAAATTGTGGGTGGGGATGAGAGGGACAAACTGGGAGAGAGCGAGGGAAGGGGTGACAGAAATATACTCTTTTTTTTTTTTTTTTTTTTTTTTGGGTCCGGTCGTGGGGCCTGAACTCTGGGCCTGGGCGCTGTCCCTCAGCTCTTCAGCTCAAGGCTAGCACTCTACCACTTGAGCCACAGCGCCACTTCCGGCTTTTTTCTTTTTGCTTATGTGGTGCTGAGGAATCGAACCCAGGGCCTCGAGCATGCAAGGCAAGTGCTCTACCACTGAGCCACCTTCCCAGCCCCAGAAATATACTCTTTACCTGACTTACATAACTCTATTCTGTATAATAACATAGAAATTAATTTAAAAATCTTGATTAGCCAATTGAATTCAGATTCCATGTTAAGCCAATTGACTACAAATAACATCAATGTGAAGTGTGTGTGTTTATTTAGTTAAGCTCAATTATCTGGCTCTTTGGGATCACAAACTTTGGGATCAACTACTAACTGTTTCCTGTATAATAATGGGTTCTGTCAGTTCTGTCACTATAATGTACCTGTAGTAAATTGTTTTCTCGCATTGTAGCCTGAATGCCATTGATAATAATACTACAGTAGCCCTCTGTTCCCCTTGTTTAAAATTTGCCATCTTGCAAGCCATTCTCAGAATAGCAGTGGATCTTGGAAAAACAAACAAGCAAAAAAAAAAAAAAATCAGGCCATCCAGTCCCTTCTTGGCTTTTCCCTGGACCCGGTGCAATGCCCTACATCTTTCTCCTGGCCTCACAGGTCTAGATCATCTTCACCTGCTCGCTTCTCCTTTGATTCCCTGCTCGTGCCTCCGACCAATCTCCCCTTCTTCATCATGTCACCAGACAAACTAGCCTTTGCACTTTCTTTTGCTTCTGGTTAGAATGCTTTCTCTGAAGTCTTCACTTGACTAGGCTTTTTGTTTTTTATTTTCTTCTGGTTGTGGAGCTTGAACTGAGGGCCTGGGCACTGTCCCTGAGCTCTTTTGCTCAAGGCTAGTGCTCTACCACTTTGACCCACAGCACCACTTTCAGTTTTTGAGTAGTTCATTGGAGATAAGAGTCTTCTGGGTACTTTTCTGCCTGGGCTGCCTTTAAACTACGATCCTCAGGTCTCATTCTCCTTTTTTTTTTTTGCTTTTGTTTGGAGAAAGACTCACTCTATGTAGTCCACACTGGCCTCTAAGTCATTATTCTTGTGTCTGCCACATGCGGGATTATAGGTGTACACTACTACTCCTGGCTTAGCTAGTTCTTCCTTATTCTTTAGGCCACAGCTTTGACATTATTCTGTCCCAGGAAACTTTAGGTATAATAAATATATTTATTTGCCTAGATTGTGGTGGTTAGTATTGCTGTAAGGTGAATCATCCCAGAAGCCACATTTTGAAATATAGAATATTGGAGTCTTTATTATATAGTTAACAGGCTGCAGGCCCCTCGTTATTACAAAGGCCTGCAGCACGCAAATACATATAACACAGCTAGGAAACATGCTAAAGAGGAAAGAAATAACAAAAACAATACCAACAATCCAATTCAGCTCCAATGGAGAGCTGAATGGGGACTCCATGATGACTGGAGACAAGCCAGGAGGCAGGACACAGGACACAATCACAGAGACACAAATGGCATGGCTTAATGGTGGCTAGGCTGGTCTGAGCCTAAATAGTCAGCTGCAGGGGGCAGATCCACAGGAATTTCCCAGACCCAGGCACTGCACTGACAGATTCAATAACCTATCAGCCATGTGCCCGCCCCTGCCTCCAAGGATCTGGACACGCCCATCACCTAGGAGGCAGGTGATGGGCAGGGAGTTTTCCCTCAGCATGAAGACAAGATGCCATACCCTACAATCTACCATGTGGCCAATATGGCACAGGCCAGACCTGACCTCCTTACTTCAGTATTAAACTCAATAAGTTAGATATAGTATTTACAAGTAGTTTTTTTTTCCTATGCTAATTATTCCTCCATAGAGTTGCAGAAAATACATATGCAGGGTTTGCAAACTAAATATAATGACATATAGAATGGGTTCTATATATATGCTCAAATGCTCAGAGGGCAGAGCACGTGCCTAGCAATCATAAAGACCTGAGTTCAAGGCTCAATACTGCTAAAAAATAAAGTAAAAAATAGCAAAAAAAAAAAAAAAAGCCATTGAAAGTCCTTCCATGATGATTCTAAAAGGAATTACTGAGGATCATGAACCTGCTCACATAACAACAGGATAAAGTCATTCCCTCTGCCCTGATGGCCTGGTTATTTCTCATTAGGTCCCATTTCCTAACACTGTTGCAATGGAGACTGAATTTCCAATACGGCCTTTGGAGGACCACTTCAGATCACAACCCCTTCCTCAAATCACTACTCAGAATACTCTTGGGAGGTGAAAGCTTATATGAGCATACATGCCTTGCCATCAGAGTTTATGTCTACTCAGAATACTCTTGGGAGGTGAAAGCTTATATGAGCATACATGCCTTGCCATCAGAGTTTATGTACAAGATAAAAGCATTGATACTCTCTGATTCTGAGCTAGTTAATAATAAATAATCCTATGCAAAAAGGATGCTTATCATTACATTTCGACATTAACTCCTAGAAGTCTGTTGTAATACATGTATTGAAGATGAGAAGACCTGATTTTAGTTTTTGTTCTGTGGCTGAGCTGGTTGTGTCAACTTCCTTTTTTTTGTTGGTCATGGGGCTTGAACTCTGGAGTTGGGCGCTGTCCTTCAGCTTTTCAGCTCGAGGCTAGCACTCTACTACTTGAGCCACAGTGCCACTTCCAGTTTTCTGAGTGGTTCATTGGAGATAAGAGTCTCATGGACTTTTGTGCCCGGGCTGGCTTTGAATGTGATCCCAGCCTCTTGAGTAGCTAGGATCATAGGCATGAGATAGGCAGCTGGCTTGTGTCATTTTAAGAAAATTGTTGTCATCTACTTTGATTTGGGAAGAAACTATGTTTGAGTAGTACATTTACATCAATAACAATTTTATTTTTCCTTTAGGAATCTGACTTTCTTTGTCTTCTTGGGGAGAGCTATATATTTGGAAGTGAAGATAGTGAGTTAAGCAGTGGCAATGGTGAAAACATGTACTCATATGAAGAAGATGAAGACCAAAAATATAGTATATTTGCAAATGATTTCCTAAGACAATCTGGATTTTATGAAACGTCTGCAAGTACTGTACTTCCAGACCAATTTTTAGCATCAGAGGCTCCTGAAACAATGAGAAGTACTAGTGACCCAAAAGATTGGGAAGAAGTAGAAGCTGGAAGTATGGGACAGGACCAGATTCCAGAAGTTGATGATATGTTGACATCCCCAACTCTGCCTGAAGGACAAGGACGGTTTGGACTGGGAGAAGAACAAACTGAAGACAAGACTGTTGAATCTGTTACTGAATCTGTACAAGAAAACTCATTTCGAAGTAGAAAAATAGCGGTGGAAGATGAAAACGATCTGGAGGAGTCCCAAACAGAGCATGAGCCAGAACCTGAATCAGAATTTGATTCAGAGCCACCAGAACTTGTTTCAGTAACAGAGAGAGAATCTGAACAAGCTTTAGAGCTAGAGCACACTCGCAAATCTCAAGCCACGAGCTGGTTTGGTGGTGGATTTACAAGTTATTTAGGTTTTGGAGAGGAGAGCACAGAACTTGAGTTATTGTCCAAAGAAAGCCACCCACTACTACAAGATATTCCCGATGATAAATTACCCGATGAAGATGCCACAGTTCCGTGTACAGAAATAACAACAGAAAAAGAGGACACAATTATTAATGACAGCTCCATCCAAGAGTCAAGTTGGTTTGATTTTGGTTTTGGCATGCTAGGCTTTGCAGATGCTGATGAAGAAAAAATAATATCAGAGGATGGAAAAAATAGTGATAGTGGGGTAGATAAACACGAGCATCCCCCAGCCAGTGAATTTGAGCCTGATAAGGAACAGGAAATAAATGCAATAAAAATGATGGAAGCAGATCAACTAGACAAGAGAAGAGTTGTAGAGGAAACAGATGATACTGATGCCACACTATATTTGAAAAAAATATTGTACAATTTTGATAACCCTTGGAGCTTCCAGAACACTCCAGAGGAAACGGAATTGCCATCTTCTAATCAGATACTGGATGAAAATAATAAAGGTGGAAATGATGGATTGGAATACTCTTCAATTGAAAATCAGTCCACAGACGACATGGAAGATCTTATAATGCTGAAAAGCAGTCACAGCCAGTCAGGTTGGTATGAAAAGATTTAGAATTTATTTGTTGATATAATTTAAAAATTTTAAAATTGTTAATATAAAGGTTATATAGAGGTAAAGAGTACATTTCTTTTTGGACAATAGCACTCTGTCCCTTACTCTCTCCCAGTATTTTCTTCCCATCCCACCCACACATTGTATAGTTCATTTTCAACAGAAATAAATTTTAAATTAAATTAATCTCCCTTTCTCTTTCTCTCTTCACCCCCCACCCTCTCTGTATGGGGGCCTGAGGCTTGAGCTCAGGACCTGGGTGCTGTTCCTGGGCTTTTTTTTTTTCTTTCCAGGGTAGAGCCTTATCACTTGAGTAACCGCTCTACTTCTACCTTTTTGGTAGTTATTGGAGATGAGAATCTTATAGACTTTCCTATTTAGGCTTGTTTTGAACTGCAGTCCTCAGATTTCAGACTCCTGAGCCACCAGTAGCCAGATTTAAATTCCAATATTATAAAATAAAATCTAAAGGACAGAATGATTGGAGATAGTCTTTTAAGAAGATCTTAAGGGGACTGGGAATGTAGTTCAGTGGTAGAGTGCTTGGCTTGCATGCATGAGGCCCTGGGTTTGTTTCCTCAGCACCATACAAACAGAAAAAGCCGGAAGTGGTGCTATGGCTCAAGTGATAGAATGCTAGCCTTGAGCTGACGAGTACAGAGAGAGCAGCCAGGCCCAGAGTTCAAGCCCCATGACAACCACCACCACCACCACCACCACCAAAAAAGAAAGTGAACATCAGAGGACAGCTCAACTTCTAAATGTCTAGGAAATTTAGCAACTTTTGATTCAAAACACGTGGATCAGCCATGCACAGTGGTGTACACCTGGAATCCCAGCAGTTGGGAAGCTAAGGCAGGAAGATCATGAGTTCTTAGACAGGTTGGATTACAAAGCAAGACTCTTAACTAAAACGCAAACAACTCAGGCATTGGAGGCTCAGCACATAATCCTAGCCACTCAGGAGGCTGAGTGGAGCCAGCCCAAGCAAGAAAGTCAGTGAAATGCTTATCTCCAATCAACCATCAAAAAGTCAGAAGTGGAACTGTGGCTCAAGTAGTAGAGGGTCAGGTACCTTAAGCAAACAAGCTAAAGGACCAATGTTCAAGTTCCAGGCCCAGAACAAAAATAAATAAGTAGGGCTGGGAAGGTGGCTCAGTGGTAGAGTGCTTGCCTCACATGCATGAGGCCCTGGGTTTGATTCTTTAGCACCACATGAACAGAAAAAGCTAGAAGTAGCGCTGTGGCTCAATGGTAGAGTACTAGCCTTGAGCTGAAGAGCTGAGGACCAGTGCCTAGGCCCAGAGTTCAAGCCCCACCACCAAAAACAAAACAAAACAAGACAAAACAAAAAAACAAAACAACAGTAAAAACAAAATAAACAAAAACAGCCACTACCACTCATAACCCAAACAAAAAGAGAAAACCTCTAGGATTGTGTATTGTGGAAAACTTTTACTTAGTTTCTACATATTCCATACTGACGTGTCTATGATGGATAGATGAGAAACTTAGCAAATATTGACTCATAATAAAGAAACATTTGAGCCCTAGAATGACAGCATATCTTTCAGAAGCAGCCAAGAACATTGTAGACTCAGGACACTCATTTCCATTAGAACCAGTTGATTTTCTGACCTTGCCAGAACTGTGTATCACACCTTACCATTCCCCTGATGTTAACTTTCCCCCTGACCAACATTCCTCTCTCTACTAGCATATGGACATTTAGATTCCAGCCCTTCTCCAAATGAGCAAGGTGAATGATTATAATCAATAGAGACCTAGATTACTGAAGGCTAATTGAAAAGGAAATTCTCATGTTCTAAAGTTATGACGTTCTAAAGGAATGTTTGGTTTTCAGTATCAGTCATTGGAAACTAGAAAAAAAAAATCCAGTTTGATTAGTCAGTTCAGTCAAGAGGTCTATTCAAAGCCAAGGCGGACTCTGAGATCTGAGGATTGCAATTTGAAGCCAGTCAATTCAGCCCTGCCAAACAAATCTGAGAGACTCAACTCCAGTTAATCAGTAAAAAGCTGGAAGTAGAGCCCCAGCTGTAAAGAACATGTTTTGGACTTACTTTCAGTCTTTGTTTCATACAAGCCAGGCCAATTAATTAGTAACATGATGTATTCTAGAATATATGACATGTAAATGGTAACTAATCAGAATCCCTCTAAATCAGATCTCATTCCAGTTTTTTGGAGGGGGACAAAGTCAGTCATGATGTCTGAACTCAGGGCTTGCGCACTGTCCCTGAGCTTTTTTCTCACTCAAGGGTAGCACTCTACCACTTTGAGCCACAGCTCCAGCTCAGTTTTTTTTTTTTTTTTGGTGGTTAATTGGAGATAAAAGTCTCACAGATGGGCTGGGAAGGTGGCTCAGTGGTAGAGCGCTTGCCTTCCATGCATGAGGCCCTGGGTTCGATTCCTCAGCACCACATAAGCAGAAAAAGGCAGAAGTGGTGCTGTGGCTCAAGTGGTAGAGGGCTAGCCTTGAGTGAAGAGCTGAGGCACAGTGCCCAGGCCCAGAGTTCAGGCCCCATGACTGACAGAAAAAAAAAAAAAAGATAAAAAGTAGAAAACTGAATAGAATACTATACCATTTTTGTAATTGTTTCTTGGCCAAGGAATAAAGGAAAGGTTAGGTTGTAGTTTGAATAAAGGTCCCTCCACAGTGCCAGGGTCTGGACTCTGCATCATGCTATTCTTTTTTTTTTTGGGTCTGGTTGTGGGGCCTGAACTCTGGGCCTGGGCACTGTCCCTCAGCTTTTCAGCTCAAGGCTACCACTCTACTACTTGAGCCACAGCACCACTTCGGGCTTTTTTCTTTTTGCTTATGTGGTGCTGGGGAATCGAACCCAGGGCCTCATGCATGCAAGGCAAGCGCTCTACCCCTGAGCCACCTTCCCAGCCCATCATCATGCTATTCTGTATACACTATGCCGAACATGATCTATGTAACTTGTGGGCATTGATAGGAGGGGCAATTGGGGGAAAGCAAAGGAAGGAATGATATTGTTCAAAGTAAGTCAATAAAATTATATATATTAATAAAGGACTTTGCAAATATGTTTAAGGATCCTGAGATGAAGGCTACAAATGCAGGAGGCTTCTAGAAGGTAGAAAAGGCAAGGTAGACAAGAATTCTCCTTTAGGGCTCCAGTAGAAATGTGGTCCTGCAAATATCCTGGTATGTTTAGGATTTTTACCTCCCCACTTGTGAAAAAAGTAAATTTCTATGAACCATGGCAGCAAGCTGTGGTGATTTATTACACCACAACAGAAACTAATATAGGCTACAATTAAGCTGTTGTGAATTCTTCCTCATAGAGGAAGACAAAGGTTCAAGAATGACCTCCTAGTAAACCAAAGGGATGCTTGCATAAAGCAAGTCATTTGAGAAGGACATTTCCTTTATGTATTTGCAGATATAATCTCTGAAATAGGCTTACCTGTGAGAATACCTGAAAAAACACATGACCAAACCTCATCTTCTAAAAATGCTGCCCAGTCAACATCATCGGTAGACCCGGAAGGGCCTGAGCAGAGGGAGACAGACACATCTGTGGAAAATATTCTCCAAAGCAGCCAGGCGGCTTCCCTTGATAACTCTTTGTCTTTGCAAAACCTCATGCTCCAGAAAGGTAAGTAATGGATTTATTCCTTCCTTCTCTATGTAACTCAGAAGTTACATAGCAAATTTTAACCTGTTTTTTTTTTATTTGTAAATCAACAGATGATGCAACAGGCTTTTGGATTCTGAAATATGTATTTCAAGTTGACATTTACAATTTCATGAATTCTGCATTTTCACCAATTATCATGCTGATAGAAAGGGTAAGGTGGCTTTACAATTTTTTGGCAATAATTTTACCTATTTTACTAAATTGAAGAGCAACTTCAAAATATGCTTGGGCATATCTATCCTATATAAACTTCCTAGAAGTTTGTTTCTCTTCGATAAAATCTTACATGTACACAGGAGTTTCTTTGTAGGAAGGTTTTGATGCATCAATGTGAAGTCATTTTTATTAATTAGTTGATTAATTAATGTGACATGTTAGCCACATTTTAAAACATCTTAAAATCTGATGGAGGTTTTTTAAATGATTGGAAGGAAAATCTAAATGAATTTTTTTGACAGTACTATGATTTAACTCAGGACCTAGCACTCACCACATGAACCATGCATGTTCCCAGTCCTTTTTGCTTTTTTTTTTTTTTTTGTCAGTTGTGGGGCTTGAACTCAGGGCCTGAGCGCTATCCCTCAGCTCTTCAGCTCAAGGCTAGAGCCACAGCGCCACTTCTGGTTTTCTGGTGGTTTACTGGAGATAAGAATTACACAGACTGGGCTGGGAAGGTGGCTCAGTGGTAGAGCGCTTGCCTTGTATGCATGAGGCCCTGGGTTCGATTCCTCAGCACCATATAAGCAAAAATAAAAAAGCCGGAAGTGGTGCTGTGGCTCAAGTGGTAGAGCACTAGCCTTGAGCTGAAGAGCTGAGGGACAGCGCCCAGGCCCAGAGTTCAGGCCCCACGACCGGACCCAAAAAAAAAAAAAAAAAAAAAAGAATTGCACAGATGTTCCTGCCTGGATTGGCTTTGAACTGTGATCCTCAGATCTCAGCCTCCTGAATAGCTAGGATTACAAGCATTGAGCCACCAGGGCCTGGCTTTAGTTTTTTTTTTAGATAGGGTCTTGTGCTTTTTGCCGGGACCATTCTCAGAATACATTCCTTCTATCTAGCTGAGATTACAAATGTTGGCCTCTATCCCCAGCTTGTTTGTTGAGTTGGAGGTCTCAGCTAGGATTACAATGCATTGATTTCTTTTCTTTTCTTTTCTTTTCTTTTTGCCAGTTGTGGGGGCTGAACTCTGGGCCTGGGCGCTGTCCCTCAGCTCTTCAGCTCAAGGCTAGTGCCCTACCACTTGAGCCACAGCACTACTTCTGGCTTTTTTCTGCTTATGTGGTGCTGAGGAATCGAACCCAGGGCCTCATGCATGCAAGGCAAGCGCTCTACCACTGAGCCACCTTCCCAGCCCTGCATTGATTTCTTATAGCTGGAGTTCATTTGATTTAATGACTGAGGGTAAAGGAATTGAAGAAGAAAGTGAAAATAGTCACTACAGGTTTCTAGCAAGGGTGGCAATGATGAATCTTGGTGAAAACTAGACAATAACACAAATCATTTTGCTTTCAGAGCTTTCTTATTTTGGGGGGCTAGGTTCTAGAGAGGATATAATATGATAAATGAGTCCAGAGAAATCATTATTTTTTTCTGTATGATTTCTTCTCGAAGATGATTTAAGACTTTAGTCAGAAATCTCTAGATTAGGAGAAAAAAAAAACCCAGTGATAATAATTGTAAAAACAACTACAATAGAATACCATTTCATTAGAATTAATTAGAATAATTCTACTTACTGGTGTGTACTGTTAAGAGATAGACCATATCTCTTTATCCCTACCCCAAATTGTCCAGTGAAGTTAAGGGACTTGAAAAATATCTCACTAATCTTCATATGACATTTGGGTTTAAATTAAGTGCTTATCTAACAAAGTCTATAGTAATAAACTTGTGTTGCACAGTAAATATTGCCAGATAACATTTTACATGAAACACTTTGAGGGGCTGGGAAGGTGGCTCAGTGGTAGAGCGCTTGCCTTGCACGCCTGAGGCCCTGGGTTCGATTCCTCAGCACCACATAAGCAAAAAGAAAAAAGCCAGAAGTAGTGCTGTGGCTCAAGTGGTAGAGCGCTAGCCTTGAGCTGAAGAGCTGAGGGACAGCGCCCAGTCCCAGAGTTCAGGTCCCAGGACCGGACCAAAAAAAAAAAAAAAAAAAAAAAGAAAAGAAACACTTTGAATTCTTCAGGCATGAAAAATATTGAGTTTAAGCTTAGCTAATTATTGTGACCTTGAAAAAATCACTTGTTCCTTTGGGGAGGTGTCTCTATTAAAAGTGTAGAATCAGAAGCAGAAACTAAATCACAGGCTGCTATTAAAAAATGGGTCTAAGCCGGGCGCTGGTGGCTCACGCCTGTAATCCTAGCTACTCAGGAGGCTGAGATCTGAGGATCGCGGTTCAAAGCCAGCCCGGGCAGGAGAGACTGTGAGACTCCTATCTCCAATAAACCACCAGAAAACCGGAAGTGGTGCTGTAGCTCAAGTGGTAGAGCGCTCACCTTGAGCTGAAGAGCTGAGGGACAGCGCCCAGGCCCAGAGTTCAAGCCCCATGACCAACAAAAAAATAAATAAATAAATAAAATAAAAAATAAAAAATGAGTCTATACATTAAATTATGAATCAGTTGTCAATATTTAACAGTGAATTTATTTAAAAATGTAGATTCCTGGGGCTGGGAAGGTGGCTCAGTGGTAGAGCGCTTGCCTTGCATGCATGAGGCCCTGGGTTCGATTCCTCAGCACCACATAAGCAAAAAAGAAAAAAGCCGAAAGTGGTGCTGTGGCTCAAGTGGTAGGGTGCTAGCCTTGAGCTGAAGAGCTTAGGGACAGCGCCAGGCCCAGAGTTCAGGCCCCACGACCAGACCCCCCCCCCAAAAAAAAATGTAGATTCCTGGATTGTTCTTTTTTTTTTTTTTTTGGTCGGTTGTGGGGCCTGAACTCGGCCTGGGTGCTGTCCCTCAGCTCTTCAGCTTAAGGCTAGCTCTCTACCACATGAGCCCCAGCTCCACTTCCAGGTTTTTCTACTTATGTGGTACTGAGGAATCAAACCCAGGACCTCATGCATGCAAGGCAAGCACTCTACCACTAAGCCACCTTCCCATCCCCAAGATTCCTGGATTCTTTTGAAAACTAGAAGATTGTAATAAGAAGTCTTTCATTCCTTTTTTTTTTTTTTTTTTTGGGGCTGGTCCTAGGGCTTGAACTCAAGGTCTAAGTACTGTCCCTGATCCTCTTTGTGCTCAAGGCTAGTGCTTTATCACTTGAGCCACAGCGATACTTCCAGTTTTTTAAGTGGTTAATTGGAGATAAGAGTCCCATAGGGACTTTTCTGCCCTGGCTGGCTTTGAACCTCAATTTTCAGATCTCAGCCTTCTGCGTAACTAGGATTACAGGCATGAGCCACCAGTGTCCTGCATAAGTCTTTCATTTTTACTGGACAATAAGAAGTTCAGATGGGGGCTGGGAATGTGGTTCAGTGGTAGAGTGTTTGCCTAGCATGACTGAAGCCCCAGGTTTGATTCCTCAGTACCACATAAATAGAAAAAAGCCTGAAGTGGCACTGTGGCTCAAGTGGTAGAGCACTAGCCTTGAGCTGAAGAGCTGAGGGACAGTGCCCAGGACCAGAGTCTAAGCCCCACAACTGACAAAAAAAATATACTAGTTCAGATGGAATGGTATATATTGATGTAGACATAAATTCTACAATTCCCTACAGTCGTAGCCTCTGCTTGGCCTTCATGGGACTAGCTGTAAGTCCTTAGAATTAATGTTCCAAAGAGCTCCTAACAGATCTACAATAGCGATCTAAGCACATCTATTAAGTGAATCTAGTGGTGCCTAGCAATAGTACTTAAAAAATTTTTTTATTAGTGAGAAATATCTTTGAGTCCTAACATATATACTCCTAACTAGAATGACTCATTCATAAATGGAGTAGCAATGAAATGTCACTGCTCTTGTTCAACAGGTAGCTTTTGGTTCAATATATTCTGAGATGATTCAATGTATTCTGAGAACTCTTGCCATCAGTAATACAAAGACTGACAATGTAGTTCAATAATTTTGATTTTCTTCCAAAGGACTAGATCTCTGTAATTCTGTCTGTTTAATTAGCTGGGAGTAACTGGTCCTTCCAGCGTGGCCATAGGGCCCTTCCTAGGGGAAATCAGCTTCTAGGTTGTGAATGAAGTTTATTGACTAGCACTTTTCAACATTCTTGTATCTCTTCTAGTAGCTCTTACACTAATGACATTTAGTCTCCATTTCCTAAAGCAGAGCTTACAAGAGACAGTAAAAGCTAATGTCTACTTATAAAAACAATCTTTTAAGTGGCAAAAAGCTCATACATACACTATATAAATTGATCATAGAACAAAACATTTAATTTAGTAGTTAGTTATCAAAGTTAACTTTTCTTTCTAACTGCAGAATGTAAGAGCGTAGTGATATGTAGGACAGTTCAAATATATGTGCAGGCACATATATATTGTGTGTGCATATTTGTGTATTTAAAGAGGTTATAGGTCCATGAAATTGGATTATGGGTTGGTAGTCACAGCTCCACCTATAGCACCCCTTCACAAGTATCAAAACTGGATCACAGACAGTGTGGAAATAAGAGTGCAGGAGGCATTAGAATCTGAAATCTCTCTCAAGGATATGAGGTACTTAGAACTTCATTTACATGCTAGGACATTTTCATGGGAACTTTCTGAGAAATGGAATTGAAAGATCTGGAAGAAGAAGTAAGTTGTGTGACTAAAGTATATGTAAGAAAGTAGAATTTGTTAAGTACATGGAATTTGTTAAGCTTTACTTTGGGGCCTTTAGCATTTTCCTTGGGCAAAAGATTTTCTTTCCTTTCTCTTTTAAACAACAAGTTCTAAAAGCTGAATATGATTCTGGAGTCCCATGGTGATGTGAGGATTCATTGAAGGATTTTTATTGAGCGTTCTAATTGAGGCATATATTACTTTTAGAGTCTCTGGAATTCTAAAGATAAAATTTGGATTATGCTTCTCTTCTGACTTCAATATTCACGTAAACTAATTTCAATACACACTGCCCTACACACACGGATGTTGTGTAATAGCTTGAAAATGGCGAATTATGAAGCAATATCTGCCACTGTCTGGTACTGGCAGTTCTTCAAACT